CCTTGCAAGAATTCAAACTCATGCTCTTGTTATTCATTTTCACTGTACCGTCGATATTGTAATATCCTTACATACAAATCATTGAGTTCCCATTTAGTTATTTCAAGTTATTACACTTACTGAATAAATTTTTAGTTGCTATGTTCAATCACCTTCATGCTAATGATTATGCATTGTTGATATGTTTCAAACTATAATGAACATTATGTTCAGTATTTAAAGATTTTGCAATAATTCTTCATTTGTAGTCAATGATCAATCGATATTATCGATTCAATCATTACTTTCTTATCGATTGAGTTGATTTAACGAGCTCAATTAATGTAGACTAGGCGCTCGCTTTCGAGATCGAAAGTCTTAAGTCCGAGCTCCATGTATAGGATCATAAATGTACGCTACTGATGAGTTCCATACTGGGACAAAACAACTGTCCAGTGCTTCCAGGTTTCCATTGGTGGTCCAGCTTAGATTAACTCGTGAATTTAACTGTTAAGATACTAGATTTATTAAAAATATACACATTTAATTGATTGTTTTTCATGACTGACAACTTCTAAATAAATATTTGCTATTCGTATTATCTGATTGACGGTAATTGGTTAAGCAATGTCACATTTCCAATTTCATGTTAATAAGTATTTGTCAGTAATGTATATCTACAATGTTGAAGGAGATGACCTTTTTACAGGATTTCAGTCAGTCAGTCAGTCAGTAACAACGTAGAACTTCGTACGTACGTACGTACGTACATCAGTTCGAGTTACCATACAACATTAGCACAGAGATGCAGTTGTCGATTCAAATCCTATAGTAAAGGTAGTAAGAGTATAAGCAGTAATCGGAAAGATTAGGATCACAGGATTTAAACATATAACTTCCAGAGTTATTCGGACCTTATCGGCTTTATACAATTTATGTATAACAGATTATTAGTTGAAGAGAATTTGACTGGAAACACATTGAATTAGTTATTTAATCTTGTTTTATTGGACATCTAGATGATGTTGGATTATAGTTTATCCATTGAATATTCCATCTAACAATCAGCTCAATTTGTTTATATTTAATTAATGATTTAATTGTTAGATTATTATTGGCTGAGTGGAAACAAAACACTCTCAAGGTCATTGTTAAAGTTACTCAACTGTATAAAGAATTCTTCACTGAAGAGTTGAAAACTAGACCAAAATATTGATGTGTTGTTGTTGTTGCTTTTTTGTATTCAGTTTTCATTATCAGTTAATTAAACAATAAATATTATCAGGGGGGGGTTTGTGAATATGTCATGGATTCGCACAGCTGAGGAGTCTCATACTAAGACGAAACAGCCGTTCAATACTTCCAGGTTGTCAGTGGTAGTCTAGCTTGGATTGACTAGTGAATTCAACTAATAAATATTAATTAATCCGTGATGTAATGGTGACTTATCTTATGTTTACGATAGTTTTTAGGTATAACAAAACACTCGTTATTTTATTGTAGTTTAAACAAATTGCTGCTTTACTGAGTTTGTGTATAAATGATTATGTAATTGAAGCAAGAAACTTCGTCTAATATGACGTTTATGCTAGTTAACACTTCAGCAAGTGGTACCTGCATTTGTGAGGAAACAGTTTGCTCTTGAGGTATTCAAGTCCAAATCATTCAGTTTACAGTTTAAAACATTGTTACTGAGTTGTTCTAACCGCTAATGATTTCCATTATAACGGAGATACTTACAAATGATAATCTAATTGTGTACTGTTGTTTGAATTCTATCAGATCAATTGACATTGATCACTAATCAATGATCAATGATCAGTTTCGTTGTTCTAGCTTGTTTACTCAGGAATTTTTGGTTGAATGGAATTCAAGACAATCTGTCATACATAATTTCAAAAGTTAGAACTTCTAGATTTTCTAGGTAGACGATGTAATTGTTCAGTATAATTCATCGGTTATCAACAAGTTTCTATGTTGTAATTTGAACAAACTTAAAACGAATATACAGTATTATTTTGATGCTTTCGAAGTGGTCGACAAGTAGACAACCATTGGAAAAAAAGGTGTAAACATGATAGAAAAACGTTTCGGCGTATACTGTGACATCAAGAATAGTCAAAAATATTATATTGCCAGTATGAGGTTGTAGAGAGATACAGCATACAACTTGAGCACTCGAACGCTAAAACCCTCCAAGTCGTAAAATCAGAAGACAGAAGACGAGTGAGAAGGAATGTTATTCTCGACAATTTAAAATATAGTACAAAACTCTCAGGTATTTATAGTTCTTAGTAAACTTGTAATCATCATTTTAGTTTTCCAGTACGCATACAATGATTTTGAGCATTTGTCCAATAAGGAAGTTATATGTCGAGATTCTAGAACGTTATTCGAAAAGATGATTGATGGAGTGTCTTCGGCTTATTATGGACTTGCGTGCCATCCTCACAGTCATTAACTATATGCCTTCAAGTTACATGTTTTTACTTTTCAAATAAGGAACATACAAAAAGTATTGTACATAGCTTTATATTTATATAATAAACTAACCAATCAAAGATGTTAGGATATGTAGAGTTGCATATCCCTATTGTGTTATATAATCTATGAGACATGAAAATCCTCGATTGAATATCATTTGCGATTGTTAGTGATGATATTGATAGAACAATCAGAATAGATTTATATTGATCACTTCTGAATTAGTGATCTCTAATAACAGTCTTGCAACTCAACGGTCTATGGAATATCAGATAACAAATTCTAACCTATGTCTGTGAAGAATGAGTATTTAAACAAAATCCGGAGAGACTCTAATTTATGGACAACCTTAGAACGAATCTTAAGTAAACTTGAGAAATAGTAGCCAATCAGCAAACAGTCAGTATAGAGAAAAAATATGTTATACAAAACCAAAGAAAGAAAGTGGATACACTTATTATACGTGGTTCAAATACTTGCCAAGGTTAGAAAGAGGTTCAGAGGTTCTAAAATTGTAATCCATGCAGTGGATGAAATCATCTATACTGCTACAGAATAGCCGGCCTCTGGAGCCATGATAAAGTCTCAAATACTCTTTCAGCCTCGAACACATAGCTTCAATATTGTTTATGTGCACTCCAGTTGTTTGTGTGTACAAAATGCTACTTGTGGATAATGACACGATGCACATAACCAAGCTTATGTAGGAGTCTTTACGCTCTCCAATTATCTGTATATATTTTAGTACCTGTCTGCAGTCAGTGTTACTGGTGCTTTTATTATCCAGTTCGCAATAATTGTCGTAGTTTGCCTTAGTTAGGAATTATATATGGAGTGTTCAACACGAACTGACATCAGCTGTAATGTCAGAAATTTATTTAGCCAAATGGATGAAAGGCTTTCGCGTTAAAATTCGAGATCTATTATCTTATACCTGATTGATTCGTCCACAAATTATAGTCTCGTCGTTTTATTTGTTATAGCCGCTCAATTATCACGTTCTGTACAAAATTCCCTGTGAACCGATCGTGCGTTAGCATTAAGCACTGAAGCTGGTGATGTGACCTTGAAATCTCCAAAACGCCTCTGATTGGCTCATCCATAAATTAGAGTCTCGCCCAAAATCGCTCTATTTCTATCCAGTTTTAATTAATATAAAATTACAATATGAAAATGTTCAAATGATTTGTGCTGACTGGTTCAACAACACAATGAATTAACCATTAAGGTCATGATAATCATATAGCTGGATGAATCAAAGTGTGAAGTAGAAAAATTTCACCTCACTATTAACCAATGACTCAAAATGTTGATTTTTTAATTCAGCTACTTCATTAGGAAACTCAATTAAATAGATACATTCACAGTGACAAGATTGATATGTCTATAAATGGATATTTTAGGTTTAAATGGTAGTTTTAATCTCCCGACATGAGTTTGTTACTAGTGAAGTTCAATCATTTCAAATGTGAGACAGTTACTTGTTGAAGGGATTAGAAAATGGTCGAGAAATATTATGAATTGACTGAAGTTAGGCATGTTAATTATTAGATTTTGGTTCATGAGTCTGAAGATTAAGCAATCGTTATGATATCTTAAGGTCAAGGGTTCGATCCCGGGTCGGGTTTCAGGTATATTCTACTTAAGGGTACCATATCAGGATGAGATAGTTGTCCAGTGATTTCTAGTTTTCATTTGTCGTCTAACTTAGACCAGTCTGTAACATAAAATTGAAAAATTCAAGAATTTTCACGAATCCCTTAAGTTAATACAGTTGATCACTTATCCTATTGTTCTGTTTAACTAAACCCCTATGGTTTGCAATTATAAACCAGTACCGTAGTTACGTTAACGATTCCATTAGTACCATATAACTGAATTAAATCTACTTTAGTAATTTCAAAGCTGGATATTTCTTTGTAATTGGAGTTTTTAATGGAAATCAGATAGTATCCATTCGCTTTACATGTTTCTTACTGTTTTTGTTTTGGAAGAAAGGTGATAATAACTTGAACGATTAAGTCATTGATACTTACACTTGATTTGAAACATAATATTCCTTAATAACTTCATCACATGTATATCCTTACTTACACACTTCTGTTTACCATATATTACTTATATAAAACAAGCTCACAATAAAATACTTCCATGTAAACGTCTAATTGTATAACGTCGAAAGCGTTTTTTCTATTACCGAACAAGTAGGATCGTAAATACAATACTGGAATCCCTTGTTTTACAATCTATATTGAATAAAATATCGCGCGCGAACTGGAGGTCCTAGGTTCCGATCCCGCAAGCGGGATCGTGGATTCTCACTGATGAGTCCCACAATAGGGTAAAACGGCCGTTCAGTGCCTCCAGGTTTCTAACAGTGGCCTGACATCAATCGGTTCACGATCTCAATAAAAAATTCAATCATCTCCACAACCCCCATGTAGAAAATCTACTACAATAGCACCTCCTCACAATTTCAATTATGATTTTTAACTACTCATGAGTAAGCAAAGTTATTTAATTAAAATTATCCATTCCTTTATCTTGTTTAATTTTAAATGAATAGAAATTTGAACGAAATTTTGTTTCTTATGTTAAATAAGTCAACAACGAAAGCGCCAGTGACAATTTAACAGGTAAATTGTTTGAAGTAAAATATGTTTATTTTCTCTGAATCTATTTTTGTTGTGAATTTGTTCAACTCAAAGGAAATAATAACTTTCGTTAACTAGTTTTTCTATTTATAACTCAGTAAAGATTGTAATTTTTAAAAGGTGAACACTTCAGCTATGCCTTTAATCCATGGAACATAATCTGATACACGTGTGTATACTCCGGGATAACCTGCTTTACCGCATCCGTAGCCAAATGAAATTATTCCACTGACAATCCATTGTTTATTAATTTGACACATTAATGGACCTCCAGAATCAAACTAAGATAAAAGAAGGAAAAATTGTAAGTGATTATTATCAGAAAGGGATTTTTCGGAGATTTCAGTAAGTTATTAGTTGAATTCATGAGTCAATTAAAGTTAGACCACTATAGAAAACCTGGAAGCACTGAATGGCTGTTTCGTCCTAGTACGGGACTCCTCAGGAGTACGCGAGTGGGATCTTGTCCATTGCTGAGGAGATCCATACTAAGACAAAGTGACCTTCCAATGCTTCCAGGTTTTCCATGGTGGTCTAGCTTTTATCGACGCATGAATTCAAATATTAAATTATAACTGAATTCATATTTTATGTTTGACATTAAATGTTGTGTATTCGCCTGCCTAAATCACTTAACATCAATAATATTCGATGGTTCTAGTTCTAATCTAATATGAAAAGTCGTGCATAATTAACTTATTTTTATTGGCCTTTATTTTGAGACAGTTAAGTGTACAATTTCTAGTGTGGTTGTGAATATGACAGTAATATAATTGCAAGAGGACAAATTGATCTTTAGGTATTTATACTTTAGGTACACTTTAGGTATTTATGATAAGCAAACAAGATCAATAGATCGTCAAAATTATGCTGTATTTCGTTGTCAACACATCTAGAACGAAACTAATGTTTTTAATGGAAAATTGATCATATAAACACTGATGACTTATACAGTCTCATTGAATGATGTAATCGGAATCACGACTTCCGAATAATATCAACATTTCGGGTACGTACACTTATTAGTCCTGTTAACGATAACGCTATCCTTTCAGAAATCATCAAACTATATTACAAAGCTTGCTTTAACTTGGAACATATTCGGCCAAGAAATGCTATTTGGAAACAACTGAAAAGGAGAACTATCTAAATTCGAATTTCTTTTATACATTATTTAATTGGAAAATTTTGAGATGGTGGAGAATATTTGTAGCTCAGGTGGATGATTTTGATGGAGTTTTGTTCTCTGAGCTGGATGGTTTGGTCGTGGACCTTTCATCGTTCTTCTGAACGACATCATCAGCACAAACTTCAGATAGAAGTGAAGTGTTCGAATTTCTCTTTATGTGTCTCACAGTTTGTCCTGTACCAAATCATACATACAAGGAATATCAGAAACCGCAACGAGACTACTGAAAACCTTCGGGATAGGTGTGGCACACAAACCAACAAAATCACTACAATCAATCCTATCCAAACCAAAAGATGAAATAACAAAGGAAAACAAATCAAACATCATCTACAAAATAAATTGTACCAACTGCGAAAAACACTACATCGGACAAAGCGGACTCACCCTTCACCTTCACCTACACGAACATCGATTAGCAGTCAAACGCCATGATATCTCCTCACTTATATCAATACACGTGGATAACTAGACACTCATTCGATTGGGAAAATGTAGAAATCTTAGACAGAGGAAACTCCAAAAACACCAGAGAATTTTTAGAAGCCTGGCACTCAGGTCAATCAGCAATCAACAAACATACTGAAATCAACCCAATTTATCAACCAACCAGGAAAATCATGCATAAATATAGGAACAAAAATCAAACCAATGGGAGACACAACCAAAACAAAGAAGTAAACAATGACAAATTTAAGGTCAATAAGAACCAATCAACATCGAGGTGCACAGAACAAGTTCTGAAACACATATGGAGAAATTCGAACACTTCACTTCTATCTGAAGTTTGTGCTGTTGCTGATGTCGTTCAGAAGAACGATGAAAGCTCCACGACCAAACCATCCAGTTCAAAGAACGAAACTCCACCAATTAAATGATTTATTATAAAATCAAGAAAAAGTCATTATTCATTACCTGACATGCATCTCTACCACCTTCTGCATGTCCTGCACAAATGACATTACTTTCTATAGTAACATCAATAGGATTTGGTCCATTACGTAACGTGGCATAATTCATTGTACATTGATCATTTGGAACAATTGGTACACCAACATGTTTCAATATTGTAGAAATATTTTTGGCTCCTAAATTAGACAGAGTATCATAATTAAACTTATTTTAAGCATTTCATTATGAATCTAAATTACTTATGCAATTTATATAAGGTAAATTGTATCACAACACCATTTAACAGTGTAAATTAATCTTTAGGACGAAACGGCCATCCAGTGCTTCTAAGTTTTCCATGGTGGTCTAGCTTCAATTGACTCATGATTTCAATCAGAAACTTAACAATCTCCACAACACCTAAACTTTAGATATTCATGGAGAGCTTCTCAATTATTATGTAGTTAACGAGAACACTAGTGGATGAAACCAAATGTGTTTAAACAGAAAATTACAGGATCAGAATCTTAGAACTATTCTTGAGATAGTAACAATTTCTAACAATCACAGCTACTTTGGGTTTGATCTGGTACAGATGTTATTTTCTATTTTATGATGTGATGCAGTCTGATTTTACTTGTATATAAATCAAATATGCTTGGAATAAATGATTCGCATAACGGAAGCTGAGATTGATGTTCCGGACTTAACAGGCATGTCTAAACAGAAAAAGGAGCAGTAAGAAATCTAGGCTGCCTGTACTGGGGTATACATCATTAGTTTGGTCGTATAGATAAGTGTATCTAAATTGTCAAATCGTATTTCGCGATAATCGTATGGCTAAGGACATGGTGGCCGGTGACCAACAATAGGTTCATACGCCATTTGTTCCCTCAGGATTCTAGAAAGCATGTCTACAATTGGTTTGGAAACAGGGTTTTCAAATTCCCTGGGTGGATCCTACGTATCCACCAACCCATTAAAACCCCGTACATTCGTTTTGATTGAATAAAATGGCTTCGGATCCTTAAGAGCCTTTGGGGGCTTAATCGTACCTTCTGAGGGTCGTCCTAACTAGTAGTTTCAAAAACTGTTACTAATAGGATACATGCTCACATACACAAAAGCATATCGTTGGGGATTGACAAAACTTCTTGTCAGTTTAAGTTGTTGACATAAAAGCGATTGAACAACAGATTCTGCAAACCCATTTAATTGTTTTTTGTACATATTTGATGCAACTTCAAAATAACAAACTAACACAAATATCGTAGTGAACGAGAACATCAGTGGGGAAATCTAAATTTATTTTAATACATTATTGAGTTGCTTATTGAAATCTGATAACCATACAGTAAGTACTTCATTTGGAAAATATGTCCATCGATTGTCTCGAACTTTGTTGTTACTTCGTTTCCACACTATTCACTCTATCCTAGTTCTCTTTCATTTGATCTTCTTAACTTTCTACCATCAGACATTTCACTTTCAATTTATGATACATACTACTTATATCTCTCGATATCCGTAGTACACAGCATAGTTACTCATACAAGTAACATAACATGTGCCATATATTGTCATTAATCCGACCCAGTCTGACCTTGACATGACCTGTCTTTATGTGATTATCAATAGTTAAATAATCTAACATCCTTAGAAGTTCAAATGTCACTAATAATTCACTCTTTTATCGAATACTTCATCATTTATGTGATATTTTCTGAGTGAAACTTTATTTCTGTGCTATTTTTAATCAATTTACTGATCAGAAATTGATCATTTCTTACTTGTTTTAACCTATAAGCCTAAATAAACTTTATGTTCGATACTATTACACGAAATGGTTAAATAAACTATCGATTTGCACAATAACCCATACAAATGATTCAACTATTAGTTACGGTTAATGTAACCGATATTATACTATCAAGTACTTGGAACTAATCAATCCAATTTAACTAGTATGCCGGTTGTAACTTATGGTATGTATGGGAAAACTGTTGAAAGTCATAGAGCACTGAATAGCTTGTATAACCATAGATATTCATGACTTCATATAGTAATGAAACCATTATTATTTGATCTTTAGAAGACGAATGTTAGCGGGATATAGATTGGATTAAAGCATGTTCCATATACAATTGCGTTGCTGCACGCTGATTGCTTAAGAATTAACCAATCAGCGCCAGCCGATACTTAAAGAAGACTCTACAACCTCATGTAGAAACTATAAATATACCCTTGTTATTTGAAATATAATTTCGTTCCTGTTCAACCGTGTTCTGATTTAGGTAGTTGTCGAGTGAATTGGTGTCCATGAATACTAAGTGATAGGAATAGCTTGGTCGTAATAAGGGACGATATATTTTGTGTCAGTCAGTAAAAGATATGTTTTGAACTTCATTTAAAGACATTGAAAAGTATCAAAAGGCGTTTTGTGGAGATTTTAATAATTTCAATAGTTGAGATCATGATTCAATTGAAGCTAGACCACCATGGAAAACCTGGAAACACTGGACGGCCGTTTCGTCCTATTGTGGGGCTCGTCAGCAGTGCGCGAGACCAATAGGTCCTGGGTTCGAATCCCGCGCGGCGGGGTCGTGGATGCTCGTTGATGAGAAGTCCCACAATAGGAAGAAACGGCCGTTTAATGCTTCCAGCTTTCCCATGCTGGTGTAGCTTCAACTGACTCATGATCTCAACTATTTAAATTATATTGAAAAGTATTTCTATTATTTGTGACTTCATAAATCACTATTTACTCACAGAAATTCAGGAGATTTGTGAATGAACTAATCACATTGTCTTCAAAAATTGAAGATTTTTACAATTCATCCCATTTCATTCTGTGAATTATCAGATCACTAGGCTGATCGACAAGCATGATGATAATCAATATTATACCGCTTAGTTCTTGATGATATATTAGATGAAGTGTGATTTGGTACCCTTAAAATAAATGTGGTAAGTTCATCTACCTTTGCAAATACATCTTGTTGATGAATCAGTTAGTCAATAATTCTCTTATGTTCAATATACAATCAAGCATATATGTGCATCAGTTCAAGTTGCCCTATTATAGAAGTAACATAAATCATAGAGTAGAATAATTAGTAACAGCTTAAAATGTACTTATTTCGATGCTGGGGTGATCCAGAAAATTGCTCGCAAAAGACAAGCAAGCATCGGGCAACACTAAGAAGCGTTCCATTCAATCAGCGTTCACTTGAACTCTTAGCGAAAAATATCAAGGAAGCGAAACGTCACATGCAGAGGCTTTGGTTGGTTGGCTGCTACACTGCTACTATGTTAAGTAGCATTGCAGAATCTTCTAGCAACCCAAGGACATTTAAACTATTATAAAAACCCTGTATTTTCTGTATTAAAATGAATCTTGGAGTAAACTACTTCTCGCATTCTTTTAGTTTTCTCTCTCGTGTTCAGGTTACTGTCTAGTTCTAGCTTGGGGGTTACAAAATAGCTTCGGAGACGAATATAGCATTCAAATTCGCAAGACTTATCAGTCGACATAAGTAGTACATAACGCTAGTTAGCAACAGAATGTCTGGAAGCAGATGGCCGAGAAGATCGAGGAAGAAGAAACCGGGGCAGAAATCCATTGAGGTGGAAATACAGTAACAATGAAGTCTGAGACGATTGATTGGCATTTTGCAAATTGAGTATTTACTGTATAATCCTCAGATTTTACTAAGGCGTTCTGTAATTGTGCGTTCAAATACATTCGATTATCCTCACTTACGTTCTTATCCACAACAAAAGTATCAGTAGTAGTGAAGAAATTGTGGTGTAGAAATAAAAAAGTATGTCATGATTTTAAGACACATAATGAGAGGGTAGACAATTACTGGATACGCCTTCATTATTGTGAATAGTTCTGAGGTATATCACTCGAAAAATTCTAGCCTGTGATTATGATAATTGTTCTAATTCCAACGATGCAGTTTGTAAATAGCTAGATGAACTAGTTCAATTGTTAATAACCTCATGGACTGATACCACTTAACATCAAAAAGCCTGAATGACTAAGAGGCTCTTTAAGATTTGTTTTTGACATCACAGAAAAGTATTGTGTTCTACCATATTAAAATGGGATATTCCTTTTTATGAGTTATTGGTGTGTCATACAGTCTTAGGATTGAAGAACTGGATGATTTATAAAGACTATTGCACTAATAACTGACTCTTCTTTAGTCATTCTTATCAATGAACCATCTAGATAACAGTATTGAAATTGTCGTCTCTGATCAACGGATCTACATTACGTAACTATTCTTCATATCACCATATACAAAATGTTTTGTTGTTGTTGTTGTAAAAAAACATTAGAAAAAATGGAACTTAACAATCAGAACAAATTGTGATAGTATGATGTGTGCTACTGATGTCGACGGATATAAGTAGTATGTATCATCAATCGAACGTGAAATGTCTGGTGGCAGAAAGTTGAGAAGATCGAAGAAAAGAGAATGAGAACATGGAATGATTGGTATGGAAATGATGAAAGGACAATGAAATTTTAGACAATTGATGAACATATTTTGCAAATGAAGTATTTACTGTATGATTCTCAGATTTTATTAAGATATACTGTTATTTTGTATTCAAATACTAGCGACTATCGCCTTTTGTGTTCTCGTTCACTGGAACGGTAATACTAAAGAATGAAATGTTTATAATTGTTACTCAATTGAATTAAGGTTATTTTTACATGTACATTGTCAAATAGAAGAGATATTGATATTATTATCTGGTTTGAATAGTATTAATCAAGCTTACCATCGATTTCATGTCCCCAACCGACACTTATACAGACTTGACCTGGTTTTACTTCTTCACCAGCTGATGGTAGACAAGCAATATTCACATATCTACTTAATTTTACTGGTTTTGTTAATTTTACCAAGGCTATATCATAACCACTGCTAGAAGCAGCTGAAAAGAAAAGAAAAGAACATTCATGACATTGATGAAAAACAGTGTAGAAATAATAAATATTAAATGATATATTTTAAAGATAATCAAACCAACTGTAACTAGTATTGTGATGTGTGCTACTTATATCAATATAAGTAGTATATAACGCTAGTTAGAAAGAGAATGTTTGACAGCAGAACATAGAGATCTAGGAGAAAAGAGCCGGGACCTGAAAGCAATTGTTATGGAAATGAAGGAACAATGAAGTCATAAGTTATTGACTGACACTTGCAATAAGAACAGTCAAGTTTGAGACAATAAATTGATATTTTGCTAACTGAATATTCACTGTATGGTTCTTAGATTTTGTGATTTTATGTTCATATTACATTCGATTGTTCCCAGTTGTGTTCTCGTTCACTATAGTAGCTAGATGTGGAAATCGGAATAGGCGTTTTGATACACAAGCAACTGATCATCTGAACTCAGTAAATCAATACATAACATAATGTAAGTTCTAAGCTAAAGGTACTAAGTTCGAGTCTTACTATGGATATCAACATCCAACTTTTAAGTCTGAAATGAAAGATAATTGTTATGGATCCTATTGTTAGTCATTATTCAAGTTTACTAAACGTTGATGATTCAGTGATGATGTTTTGAATAGACTTTCATAAAGATTGATTACAAACATGTAAGACAAGTAACAATAAACAAACATTTCGGCGAGACTCTAATTTATAGACGACCTTAGAACGAACCTTAAGTAAACTTGAGAAATAGTAGCCAATCAGCAAACAGTCAGTATAGAGAAAAAATATGTTATACAAAACCAAAGAAAGAAAGTGGATACACTTATTATACGTGGTTCAAATACTTGCCAAGGTTAGAAAGAGGTTCAGAGGTTCTAAAATTGTAATCCATGCAGTGGATGAAATCATCTATACTGCTACAGAATAGCCGGCCTCTGGAGCCATGATAAAGTCTCAAATACTCTTTCAGCCTCGAACACATAGCTTCAATATTGTTTATGTGCACTCCAGTTGTTTGTGTGTACAAAATGCTACTTGTGGATAATGACACGATGCACATAACCAAGCTTATGTAGGAGTCTTTACGCTCTCCAATTATCTGTATATATTTTAGTACCTGTCTGCAGTCAGTGTTACTGGTGCTTTTATTATCCAGTTCGCAATAATTGTCGTAGTTTGCCTTAGTTAGGAATTATATATGGGGTTTTCATCACGAATTGACATCAGCTGTAATGTCAGAAATTTATTTAGCCAAATGGATGAATGGCTTTCGCGTTAAAATTCGAGATCTATTATCTTATACCTGATTGATTCGTCCACAAATTATAGTCTCGTCGTTTTATTTGTTATAGCCGCTCAATTATCACGTTCTGTACAAAATTCCCTGTGAACCGATTGTACGTTAACATTAAGCACTGAAGCTGGTGATGTGACCTTGAAATCTCCAAAACGCCTCTGATTGGCTCATCCATAAATTAGAGTCTCACTAACTTCATTTTTACTGCAGATTGTGTGTATTTATCAATGGAGCGGAGCATAATTCTTGTTTGTTGTACACATTTGTTACTTATAATGAAACTGCGTTGTTTTTTCATGTTGTAGGATTGAGAGATTTAGCTACTAATAGTAGTGTATAATGTTAGTTGATCTCTAAGCCATTGACTCGTCGGTGTATATGAATCCTCGAACATCAAACCAGCAATCAAAATCAGAACATTCAAGTTTCATAGTAAGTTCTTAATTATTATATTATTGGTTTGAGATTCAATTATAAGTGTTCTCATCACCAGTCACCTTATAGATATAGCCTAACGATCATCTAGTGTCAAGGATGATGATCATTTCACTCGGAACATGTTATAATGTCACCAAAACATAAACAACTTATTTCGAAGTAATCCACTAGTTATATTTGTTTTATAGTACTTATGTAATGGTTTTATGAACAGTACACTTCACAAGTAAGTTATACATGAAGTTTGGAACCTGAAAAACCAAGTTTATCCAATAGGTAAGGAAACAAAGAAATGTTGAGGAATCTACAAACCACCAATCATGAAGTGTCTAAGTTTTAGTTACAATGTCATAGTTGCCGTTGATGAGAATGTTCACCCTTCAATTTAACAATTAAGAATAAAATTATAACCCACACTATAAACTAGAAAATAGAACACAGATATACCAATGAACAATATAAATGAATAACAAAATAAACTACACTAGCCTACATATAAAGGATAAACAATGAAAATTAAAGGAAATACTCTTGTCAATAGAAAACTGGCTTGTTATCACCGTCACAGCATCCAAGCTACAAAAATATGTTCATATAACTTGGACTACTAAATAATAATTAGTAGTAGTTTAGTTAATATATAAAAAAAGAAGATGAGGAAAGGTATTGAGTCAGTTATAGCACATTTATTAAGTAATGTTCATCTATTGCCTAAAGATTTGAGGTTACTAAAGCTTAATGATACATCAAGCGCATATTTTTTTTGTAGACGTAGTAGAAAAGAAAACATTTACTTCAAACTAAAACATGTAAGCAGAGATGGATGCTTGTTTCGTTTTATTTGGGGCTCCTCAGCAGGATGTACTTACATCTAAGTTAGTGTTCACAACGGGGTTAGAACTCGGTACTGTTTACTTCATATGGCATCGCGCAATCCATTTAAGTATTAAGAACAGAATGTTTATCCTGGATTTCATGACTAGCTACCGTTTATCTCTAATTATAATGCTTGTGACTTAAAACAATATCGAAGCAATCCGTACAAGATACACAGATGCCAATAAGCGAGACTGATTGATTTCGATCTCAAACGTCAATGGAAAGATTCAAATACACAATACAATCATGAATTTATACATCTAAATGTTCATTTTAACATTACATGATTAACATGATTAAGTCAGGATAATCTTATTTTTCTATACAAGTCTAAAACCAAACATGGAAAAGGGATTATTTCATATCAAATGAGATTCTTACCAATTGATCTAGAGATAAGATAGAAATATGAAATGAAAAGAATTGATCGATCAGAAAGGATAGGTGATAACTATCCAATTAAAAGATATATAGAAAAAAACAAAAATCTGAAGATCATAGTAACAACTGGATAACAATATGAAGGAATAATATTAATTTTAATAGTTGAGATCATGAGTCAATTAAAATTAGACCATCATGGAAAACCTAGAAGCACTGGACGGCTGTTTCGTCCTGGGTATTTTCTGGAGTTCTAGTGAGAAACACTGATCAGCGGAATTCAACCGGGTCTGTTGTGAGATAGTAACTCAGTGAAGACAATGGTAAATGTGTCGCCCAATTTTATGAATTAGTTGAATGCTGGTCGACTAAATGATCTAGTGGTTAAGCATTCGCGCGCGAGATCGATAGGTCCTGTGTTCGAATCTCGCGGAGGGGGCGTAATCGTGGATGCGCATTTTTTAGAAGTCCCACAATAGAACGAAACGGCCGTCGAGTACCTTAAGTTCTTCTATGGTGGTCTAGCTTCAAATGAATCATAATCTCAACTATTAAAATCAATATATTATCCACAAAATCCCTTCTGAGAATTATATTAATTAATTACTGGCTAAGAAAACGTAAAGATTAGAATAGCTGTTATGTCCATAGTAAAATGAGATTACACGTTGTGGCATAAACTACTTAGTTAATGGAACTTCTTCAGCGTACAACATTATTGTTTTTGTTGATTCATACAGTCCTTATGCTTAAACGTTTTACTATGTTGAGTATTTTTGAAAGATTAAACTATTGATTGTTTTGTATTCTCCCTTTTGTAAATCACCTTCGATAATATTTAAATAGACATTCAGGATGAGTTAGTTTAGTGTAACCTGATCCTCAAACAGGTAAGCATACTTATAGATTCATATAGAAATTGTCCATAGTTTTAATATATCCTTGATACAATCCATGAATAATAGCAAAGCCTACGAATACAATATGAAGCTACCCAGAATAGAAAATTATGTGTCAGAGATCTTGAAATCCAAGTTTTAAGATTCATCGCAACTGTATCATCATTCAAATTTGATATTCATGAAGGATATCTTCTGATTGAAAACAATCCTTAAGGTTGCATTTGCATTTCAGGTTTCTACCACCAAATTTAAAGGGATAGTAATTTCTGATAAATATTTGTTTAATTGAAGATATTTCTTTATCTTTTGTGTTATTAGAGCATATTCACTTAGATCGAACTAAGTATCGCTTAATGCTCGATTGGACTCAATATTGAAAGTTGATACACTGACCGGTTCAAATTAATTTCCTATAATATAGATCTTGGTAAAGAATCATTTGATCTTCCTTTAAATAGGGCATCGAATAAATGAAATTTTGTAATCATGAATGTTGTCACATTTAGGATGACAGTGTAGTTAGGAAAGGTCGATCCTAAAAACGCACATCTTGCCTTATGTCACGGATATCCGTCTGCGGAAGTAAAGTCCCAACAATTACACGGCTAACGCGAAAATTACCCACAAAAAGGTCGTGTGTGACTGACCTCAAGCAGTTGTCCCTTGGGTACTGAGGTCATGCTCTCAACTCACCAAGACCACCCCTAACCCAATTTCCTTCTCAGATACGTGCAGAAAAACGCTTCCACAGTGTGGGCAACTGGGAAGTGATAACGACCCTCATACCTCTAACACACTATCTATTTATCTGTTGTATAAGGGTATACATAAATCATCACAGCTTCAGTAAATCATATCGTCTAAAAGAAAACTTCTTTTGCTACGTTTCCTGTAATAAATTTCCAATGATACAATGAATTTCTTTCATTATGTTAGTTTACTGAATAACAACTCGTTAATTAATAAACTGGCCGCAAGATTCATAAAATTCGAGAAGTTAATTACATTATTTTACTAATTAATATTTATGGTGTACGTTGCTTATATCGGTAGATATAAGTAGTATGTAACACCAATCAGAAATGGAATGCTTCATAGCAGAAGGTTGAAGGAATTGAACTCAAAGAAATAGAAAGGGCAACATAAAGGAAATGAGAATAGGGAGATTATAAAGGATGTAAAGGAGAACTGACGGAAGATTAGCAAATGAGGGACAAAATTATAGAATCACTTGGTAAAATATGAGAATCATGCATTGAATACTTTGCAAAATTCCATTAGTTGTCCTTGACATACTTCATGGTTCATCCAAGTCATAATTTATTTCTAGTTCCAACTCTGTTTTATTCAAGTCGACCTTCATAGCCATCTACTGCCAGGTTATCCACTTCCACTTAGTGTTACATACTACTTATATCTGTCGACATAAGTAGTATACATCACACTACTACATAATATTAGTGAATAATGTAAATATTTTAACTATTTATCATGATTTTTAATACTGTAAAATTAACTAATCCTAATCATAAATAACTTACATTGATATTGTGGATGTACATAAACATGTGCCACAGACATATCGTAGTGTTCCATTGATTCATTCAGCATATCATGTTCACCAATTCGTACAATCCAACTTGATGGATCCGATGATAGATGTGGATAAAATGGATTTGGGCTAAACATCGACATGAATATAAGATAGATAGATAGACAGATAGATTAAGATTGGCCATGTTATTCTTTATGATCTACGTTGAATAATAAATTAATTGAAACACATCTTTTATCAATTAGAACAATATGATAATGGAGCTTCAAAGTTTTCTCTACTCCTGTCTAAAAAATGTTTAGTTCAAACGAATGAGGTAATCGTTAGTGACTTTCCGATTCTTGTTATCTCATTGACAATTGGTATGATTTGTTTGGGTTGCCTTCGATTTTAGTAAATAGCCGTTAGCATATAACAGCGTAATCAAGTATGCCTTATTGTAATGTTAATGAAGAGTGATCAGAGTGTTGTCATCACTTATTTACTTACTTACGCCTGTTACTCCACACAGAATATAGGCTGCTCACGAACATTTTCCAACTTACTTTTTTTCCCGGGCCATCCTTTCTAATTATTTCCAAGTCGTATTTATTCATTTGATGTCTACCTCTGATTCCCTGAACGATTTGTACTTTAGTCTTCCTTTTTTCTTTTTACCTTCTGAATTTAAAGTTGAGCCTTGTCTTGTAATACAGTGTGATGATTTCCTCAGTGTTTGTTCTGTACCCCTCCGGTGTTTTTTTTCCTAATTTCTTCTTCAGCTGAAAGCTGGTTGTAATCTTCCCCACAGTAGGTTGTCTCTGATGGTATCCTGCGTGGACAGCTGTTTATAATTATCTGTACCTTTTTAATGATGTTCGTAGAATTTTTAACGTTTGGTCTCCATAATATTGAACTGTCTTGAAGTTCTCATTGAAAATTCTGACTTTGATGTTGTCTGACAGTTATTTTGAGGTTCACATCTTTTTTCAGTTATATGAATGTTTCCTTTTCCTTCCTAATTCTTGCCTTCCTATCTGCATCCGATCCTCCTTGTTTATGGAAATCATCCGACTGTATTACAAGGCAAGCGCTAACTTGGAATCCTGAAAGGAAATGCAAAAGATGAAGGCCAAAGAACACACTGAGTTGAGAATTGAAAGAAGACATAAGAAGTAAACAACTGGAAATAATTTCCGAGACAGAATTGGATGGAGAATATTGGTGGATGGCTTATGCTTCACGACGAGTGGGAACAGGTGTAAGTAAGTAATGAAGTATTTACATCAGATGCTCATTGTTCATCAATGATGCCGCCCCCCCCCAAGATACGTCAAATGTTTTCACCTCTACTAGAGTTTCACCATCAAGTATACTTAGTTTGTTGCTCAGTATATTGAACTCTATTTAGTAGAAATAAGTAGTAAGATTTCTTAGTATCTTCGATTAGTAACGTACGGTATAACAAGTAAGAATACTTGGATTATTTTATAGTTCTGTTAGGGTATATCAAAACTGATAAACAATGAGAAGGCTATTTTCGCAATGATTGTTTTTCCTCTCTAATAAATTAATTATTCATTGGAAAGTAATTCATGGTTAAAGGGATCTTGTTGAATATTTCATAATACATGATGAATACTACTACTACTACTAATAGTAATAATAATAATAATAATTACGTAATACTTATTCAGTTATAGGCTCAGTGAATAATTGATTTTATTTACTCCTGTCGAGTGAAAATCCATTGATAACTAAGGCGGATAGTTGGGAAGAATGAACGATGATTCTTTCAATAAACAATTTTAATAATTCAGTTATCTAATCTATTCTAGTAATTCTATGAAATCAGTTAAGTTATATAACAAATATCATATGAGCTGGCTATTTTATTCATGAAGTATTTTATATTCAGTAGTTGAGATCATGAGTCAAATGAAGCTAGACCACCATGGAAAACCTGGAAGCACTGGACTGACGGCCGTTTCGTCCTATTGTGAGACTCCTCAGTAATGTGCATCCACGATCCCATTTCATGAGATTTGAACCCAGGACCTATAACCTTTAGACCACTGAGCTCAATTTTGTGGATTAGTTGAAGTTAGACATTAACACCGTTGGATGCCGGCTCAATGTTCTAGAGGCTAAGCGTTCGTGTGCGTGAACGAAGTACCTGAGTCCGAGTCCCGCGTGTGGGATCGTAGGTGAGCGCTGCTGAAGAGTCTCACACTAAGACGTAGCGGCATCTCAGTGCTTCTAGGTTTACAATAATGGTCTAACGTGCACCTTGTCTTTTTAATAATGACAAGTTGTGTTGCATGAAGTGTCCTATTGATAGCTTTCAATTTAAATGTATGTGCGGAAACACGTACATAAGTAGAACTAATCTTGTTCTGTAAGTAAGGGTGGAGGAACATATACCTTTTACTTTCCATATATAAATGTTCTTAACAAGTACATTATGTGTGATCAGATTGATTTTGAAATGTATTACGAAAGCATATCACGTAATCCTGATAACCATCGTCTTCTCATTACATTTTAATGAGCAGTATAATATATTCCGTCAAGATGAGTAAGAGAAAATGGAATTTGAGATGGCGGAGAAGATTTGTAGCTCAGGTGAATGATTTTGATGGAGTTTTGTTCTTTGAGCTGGTCGGTTTGGTCGTGGAGCTTTCATCGTTCTTCTGAATGATATCATCAGCATAAACGTCGTCTAACAAAGGAACAGTCAAGTTTGAGACAGTTGATTGGATTTCGCAGATTAAGTATTTACTGTATGGTTTTCAGATTTTACTAAGTGATTCTATAATTTTGTGTTTAAATATATTCAATTGTCTCATCTCATGTTCTTGCCCACTAAAGTACTCTGTTTAAAACATTTTCTAATATATGTCAGCATACACTGATTGATAGTTAGGCAGTAATCAATCTTATGTTTACCTAGTCTTTGGTCTTGATTGTATTCTATCGAATAAGTTAGATTATGTGCAGCATGTTTTTTTTGTTCGGGGGACCTGTTTGAATAGCTGAGCTACCTGTTGCTGTCATTTAGATATTTCAAAAAATTTACTGTTTCCTTGTTTGTTTTAACAGATCATTGTGTCAACCAATCACATAACCTATTCAGGTAAGTTTATGAAATGTCTGCAACTGCTAACATCTAACTGGAGACCATCCAATATTTATCATAAGGGTTGATCGAGAAATAAGGAACGAAAACTCGCAGAATTACTTTATGCTGAGAATATAATACTGGAGAAAGCTAATAATAATAATAGCTTGATTAGCTCGAATCCAATGTCTCAGTCTATAAAGCAGAATGACGTGAATCAGTTCCTTAAATGTTTCAAGAATGTTTTCCTCAGAAGTTCCGATTGTTTTATTAAGATTCAGGATCTCTTACCAGTTACTTTTAATATCCTAATATATCTACATACAAACCGTTTAACTAGCTTTATTAATATACCAGCTTCTTGGTAAAAAAAACAACTTTCAATACCCTTTTAAAATCACAACTAGAAGTGTTCTTTATTCTTTATTAGTTCCATTCATAATGGCACAATGTTTCAATAGAAATATATTGATCATGAATTCACTTGGTGTGGTTTTACTTGTATCTTTGCATTGTTATTTAGGACTTCATTTGATCAGTCTCATGTTGGCATATGTGCATCCATGTGCGGATTGCCTCGATATAGCTTTAAGTCCTAAATAGGACGAAACGCGCGTCCTGGATTCCACTGCTAGCCACTATCCACCTACCTACTGTTACTTTGCGTTAATACTGTCCCTACCAACCTTAACTAATTCAAATAATATCGAACATGAACTGTATATCACTGAGTTACATGACATATGCATTATGGTAGACCTGATTGACATATTTCGGTCACTATTGCTTTGTTGTTCCATGATCACTATTCCCATTCTACTTTATTTAGTTGTACATAGTTGTACATTCGTTCTGGCACAAGAAATAACCTTAACTACACCGTTCATAAATCCATAGGCTGTCCATTTAGGAAGTATTAAAAGTTCCCAGCTGATGCAGTACATGTACTACTTAAACAATTACTGAACTAGTATACTTAAAACTATCTTATATCACATGTTTGTTCTCTACGTCTAATGTTACCATTTATATCAAATTGATCATGTCTGTAAACTGGAGTGAATTCTGTAATGATTTGTTATGTCCCGATAAGCATAATGAATGGTAACTTTTGGGATCCATTTAGGGACCAATACTAAACGCATATTTTTATCGTATAACTGTTATGTAACTAAACTGTTCATATTCATGCCCCTCTTATTATGAGCTTTATTTTTACCTATGAACTATTACTAAACGATTACCATTCTTGAATTATGCCCTGTCTATCAATTACTAGCTCCCTTATTCACAGCCATATTTGACTAATTCTTGTACAAATGCTGTTTCATATTTTATGGTACGATGGGGTCTGTCTGTTCAGTATATAAACCCAGTATGTTTGGAATAAATGATTCATGGTGCAGAGGCTGAGATTGACGTTCTGGACTTAACAGGCAGGGCTAGACAGAGAGCAGAACCGATAAGTAGTCTAGACTGCTCGTACGGGTTTTGCGCGTCATTGATCCGATCGGTGATTCACTGCTTTCTAATTGGCAGTATCATCACGTCATACATTAGCGGGACACTAAGGCCACAAGTTATAACATTATTATTTTCAGAATATTTATATATTATTATTAATATTAAACTCCAACCAATAGATTACAATAGAAAATCTTGAATTTTTATTTACATCTTAAAATTCAAATACGATAAGACTATTAATTTACGAACGACTTTTGACCGATACTAAGGTGACCTTGAGAGTGTCCGCCTAACAACTAGGACCAAACGAGGGTTATAAACCTGCGTAAGCAATCACAATTATGATTTACAGTTGATGATTAAGGGTTAGGAATTAGATTCAAGGTTTTCATCATGAATCGACATCAGCCAAACTGACGAAATGTTATTTAGTCAAATGAATAAATGAATTTCGCGCCAAGATCCAAGACGTGTTATCTTAAATATGATCGGTTCATTCATAAGTTATAATCTCACCTCGAATACTTGTGAGGTGTTATGATATATCTAGTTGTTTGTA